GAAAAAGTAAAAAAAAAATATTTTCAATAAAGTACACTTTAAGAAAAAAGAAAAATGAAAAAATACACACATTTTGAATAGTATCACATGAACATGTTGCTTGCATACAACAATCCAAACATGTAACTTTCATACCCAAAACATATTTAAAAGCAATTGTCAAATAATTTGTTTCCCACACAAACACAACCTGTTGTTGTTGTTTCTTTCTTTCTTTTTATTAGTTTAACCCTTTAACAATATTTTAGAAAACAATAAAGCATGTGTAAAGTTTTCAAAATAAAGTAAATCTGAATCTAAAACATACTTGCAGCGAAACAAATAAATTTAATATAAAAAAAAAGAACGTACTTAAATTCATAATAGAATAAATCTGTACGTTTTGCAATAAATCTTTCAAATCAATACGTCGTATTTTGAGTTATCACACTCTTTTTATTTATAGTGACGATATAATATAATAGAAATTTTCATACATGTGATTTGAGAACCATAATTATTTATTTATATCTTTAAATTTTTATTACTTTTAATTTTATTCATCATAAAATAAGAAATTATGTTTTTAATCTCTATACATCAAATAAAACTCACATTTTAGTTTGATGTATTAAAATTCAAAATATTTTTAACCGTGTTAGATCACTTAAACATGTCCATTAAATTTAATAAAATTTTATTCACAATAAACCCACATATAAGGCTACACAACTGATTAAAAAACTCAACAACATGTACATAATTATGAGAAGATAAAACAAATGTAATTAAGAAAACCACAAACAAAAAACAAGTCTCAAAATTCATATAAACCATAGAATGCTCCTACTTATGTTTTAGCATTAAAAAATGGTTAAAATACTTATGTCATTCGCTGATCAATAACTTGTGCAATTAACAATAAATAATAAAATAAAATATTATTATTGTTTGAAATAAGATTAATAAATAACAGTTAACTAAACTAACATTCAATCATTTATTTAATGGGTTACGTCACAAATGATTTAAAACTAAGATATGACAGTTTTCCTTTAAGTGTTTTTATCAAACAAGTAATAACCATCAAAAGATGATAAATAAAAAATGTAAACTTAACTCTTTTATTATCAAAAAGTTATAAGTAAAATAAGCAATAGGATAGTAAAATTTCACATTTAATAATACATAATTATCATCAATAAACTTATAAATTTGACTGCAAATATAAATAAAATCAAATATACATGCGTAGTAAATTTTTTTCGAGAAGAAACTTATTTAGATTACTATACACGATTAGCCACAAATGACAACTTCATTAACCCTTTGGTATCTAATCACCAAAAAAAAAATGGACTGATTTAAATGGTTTTAAACAAACACTAGCAATTGTCATATCGAGTACATTACGTAGTTTTTTTAATCACTTTTCCAATATCTAATTACAAATTTATAATCATATAAGAATATAATATGTACTCTATTTCATTTACCATACAATACATTATTTTTAAAACGAATCATCACACGAAATTGATTTGATCAACATACTATACTTTAAAATAACATAATTTATAATATAAATAAGGTAACCCACTGATCATGCTTATTACTTATAATAAAATATAAATACACACTCATGTATCAAAATACATAAAAATATCTAAAAATTATTTAAAATTAAAAACAATTTTGATTGGTTGTAGACTAAAAAATACTAATTTAATTTAATTATTAAAATTGACATAATTTAAGAACTGAAATTAAATATATTAATAACTTAAAATATGAATATTCAATATTTAATATTTATAAAAAAATTAAGATTAATAAAATCGAATATCACCAAAATATGTTTGTAACGACACAAATTTTTAATATTCATAACATATTTATTTTATTAAATAATAATAGCAGTTAGAAATGACTATTTTGATTGATTGTAGACGAATAAATACTATTTTAATTTAATTATTAAAAATTAATATCATTTAAGAATTGAAATTAAATATATTAATAACTTAAAATATAAATATTTAATATTTAATATTTATTAAAAAATTAAGATTAATAAAATCGAATCTCACCAAATATTTTTTGATTTTTGGTTGGTTTATATGTTTAAATTTCAAATTTTTGAATTTGTGATTCGGTTTATCCTATCAAAATTGAGAAGATTTGATTTTTCTTAATACAAGATTTTATGTTAAGATCTGAGAAATGTTTCTTTTATTTTTACTATCAAACTTTTTTATTTTCTTAATAAAATTATTAAATAATATTATATTATCATCAATAGTAATTATTGTTAGTATAAAAAAATATGATTTAATAAACTCCTCTAAACCAAATTTACCAAAACATATACAAAGTACAAACCATCTACTTGAATTAGTAATGATTTTTCCAACAAAAAAAGAAGTAAGGATTTAAAAACTCTGATCAGCGTTATATAAAAAAAAAAAAAAAAGATTTGACCATGGCTCCCTTCCTTTGGAAATGGGGCAATTTGTAGTAATTGGAAGGGAGTGGGTTTTCTTCGGCAGCTCCAGAGGCTGACAGTCTCAGCTCTCAACAGAAAAGTCTCCTCTGACTTCGCCTCTCCTCCTCCTTCCACTTCTTACTCTACTCTTCCTTTACCCCCTTCCATTCCCCTGATTTTCCTTGCATCTTTTTTCACTCTTTGTTGCTCTCATTGATCTCTTCACATCGTCACTATTATCAACCGGAGCTACAGATTTCTCATCCCTTTGTCTTGATTGTAACAGTAATAATTCCTATTGGAAAGTTACAAGGACAAGAATCTTCTGCTTATACTTGCAGATCCGACCCCAGCTGGTCAGTCGTCAACTTATCTCCATATTTTGTTTTCTATTTTCAGTTTTTATATTCTTATCTGGGTCTCCTTTGTGTTGTGAGTTTCCTAGGAGCTTAGTTATTGATCCCAGTTTCTTTTAATCTTATTTAATTCTCGTGAGGATGGGGTATAACGGGGCGCATTTGTTATGCACAGGAGGGTTTCTTTACTTCTATCGGCTTCTACTCGGTCATTTTGTTATTTTTTTTTGGTTCTCATTTCCTACGGTCAAATTTTTTGAACTAGGTTCTGCTAAGTTCTTCCTAAGTTAAGATTTTGTTGGATTTTTGGTTGGTAATGTAAGGTTTTTGTGATTTTAACAGTTGGTTTGCTTGCTGTTAATGGGGTGGAGCTTCTATAGTGATCGGAATTGGTGCCGTGGCGTTTTTGCAGGCTGTGTTTATGTCTTTGATGTGGTTTGATGATTGAGTTAGACAATGATCATGTGGCTTTTAATTTGCCACCGACCGCTTTGAATTTGGACTTTCTTGAATGATTTTGGTAAAGCTCAGTTGCTAGTTGTTGTATGTAAATACTCATACTATTTGGCTGTAGCATGTAAAAGGGCTAGAAAGGTTGAGATACAATTGGCTGTGATCATCGTGATGGGTGGGCTTTGCTCGAGGAGATCCACTGTAGATAATGCTCCCGGTGGAAGCTTTCCACATGTTAATGGTCATTTGGATGGTGGCTCTGGACTGGTTTTTCAGTCTCGTGCACTGCCAGCGAGAATAAGTGACAACCCAGCTCCTCCTTTGGCTGGCGACAATGTGGACAAACAGTTGAGACAACCTTTTACATTCCCGGAGAGGAATCCAGTTCAATGTGTGACGGATCCTGCTGATATCAACGATGGCATCCCTCGGTTGTCACGGGTTTTATCTAACAAATCTAGGTCAACAAAACCTAAGCAGGCTGCTGTTGCAAAGGTAACGATTTATTCTCTTGTGTCTTCTGTTTCTTAATTTGGCATTAGTAATTTGTTATGAGTTGTAAATACGTGGTATAAGAAGGGTATGCTAGATATGTTCTTATGATGTTTATTCCAAAGCATAAGACTAGTCTTCTTGGTTGAAATGAATGGCAAAAGTAGTGTTGCAATGATGTGCGTTCAACATGCTGATTGTTGTTTGGTCATTATTAGTGGACATTGTTGTTTGGTTATTCTTAGCAGATATTGACTGAGAGTTCCAAACTTTTACTATGTGTCTGTTTTACTACAGTTTGTATTCCAAAGTTACACTGGAACTTAAGCTGCCATTTGACATTGAAAGTCGGGATTGGTTCTTGCCTTAAAGGTTATTCTATGTAATTCTTTCTCATGGTATTTTCTTCCATAAATATCTTTTTGAAAATATTGGGGGTTGTCATCATACTTTGTTTCCTGAATCTCTTTTAGAATATATGAAATCAATTGGATCTATAGGCGGCTCTGAACAAAATTTTGATATTTGTTCTGCTCATTAAGTCAGTTTCTTCAACAAACTTCTGAACTTCCCTGATTTTGGTTTAGGATAGTTAAATTTTCAAAAACTAATGCTTCTCTGCAATCATTATGGATAGAGAGATTTTTTCTAGAAGTAAATGGACCGGGAGATTCTGGTGTGAAGATGTCAAGTCTAAGAGATGTCATTTTCTTCTGGTTTCATATTGATGAAGAAGTGAGGTTTTGCTTTATGTGGATACATATTATTCCCCAGAAAAATGGAGTGTGTCAAAAGGATTTTTTGTTTCCTAAGTAAAAAATGTAGCATAATTCATTAATTCACAAGCATCAAGGAGGTGCCACCCGTGTGCAAAATATTTACAAGTCGATCAGTATGTCAGTGTCAAAAAGAGTCCTTTATCTGGAAAGGACTGACAAAGAAGTATTCCGGGCAGACCATCAAAGGATTATGGGTATTTTAGTTTTTTAATTATTGTTTTTTATTTTTAATAACTTGGATCCTGTCAGTTTTATCTATGGATTTTTCTTCTCTAAAGAGATGGCGAAGAATATGATGCATATAAAGGTGTGAAGACCTTTATTTCAAAAAAAAAAAAAAAAGGATTGAAGACCTCCAGTCAGACTATATAAAGATGCTTCTTGTTTACTTGTTGACATTTTGAATTGAACTAATGCTTCTTCTCTGTACTTGAATGGCATCCCAAGTAAATGGTGCTCTTTAAATTTATTGTTTGTCCTAATAAAAATTATAGAGTCATATTGTTAAGCTTAAAGGTATTTGGCACCACTATTTTACTGATATTTATTTGAGTGATGTGCAAGTGCCTTTTCCTACTCTTTGAGTTTGGATTCAGAGTACTTGATGTCAATTGGCAGCCTCTGCAAATATTGGTTTATAGTTTGCACGGTTGCTTTCCTTTCCCTTGATGATTTCTGGTTCATTTTTTTGTGTTTTGGCTACTGATTTTATGGGTTCTAGTAGGGTTGATATTTCTGTGAATAGATAAATTGGTTATCTTGTTGTTATAGGTTTCAGAAGTGAGTTCTCTTCTGGGCAGAGCTGGCACTGCTGGGTTTGGAAAGGCAGTAGAGGTTTTGGACACACTTGGGAGTAGCATGACAAATTTAAATCTTAACGGTGGATTTACATCTGGAATGACAACAAAGGGGAATAAAATTGCAATTTTGGCTTTTGAAGTTGCAAACACTATAGTTAAGGGTGCCAATTTGATGCAGTCTCTTTCAAAGGAGAACATTAGACATTTAAAAGAGGTGGTTCTTCCCTCCGAGGGGGTGCAGAAGTTAATATCAAGAGATATGGATGAACTCTTGAAAATTGCTGCAGCTGATAAAAGGTGAGTAGTGCGGAAAATATTGCTGGTGTCTTTGGTTAATATATACAATCTACTTGGAATATAAATAACATTGTTTCTTCTTCAACTCTGACAGAGAAGAGTTAAAAATTTTTTCGGGAGAAGTGGTACGCTTTGGAAACCGTTGTAAAGATCCCCAATGGCACAACTTGGATCGCTACTTTGAAAAGTATTCCTACCATCATATTTTCAATGTTGGTGTTATTTGCAGTGTTTCTAATAATATATTCATGCATTATGCTTTTTATTTAGGTTGGGTTCAGAATTTGCTGCACAGAAACAATTGAAGGAAGAAGCAGACACCGTAATGCGACAGTTGATGACTTTGGTTCAGTATACAGCTGTGTGTATCATATATCTCAAAGAAAGCTTCACTCTCAGATTCATTCTGTGTCATTTAGCTGAAAAACCTTAATTTCACAGTGTTCTAAGTTTCTTAGATTTAGTCATGTGATTCTTAGCATGTCCTAGGATTTTAAATGTGAAAAATGAGATTCAATGAGCTAAGCTTGGAAGGTGAGATCAATTTGTTTTTCATTGGATATCTTTTTATTATTTCTTTTTCATTTTATTTAAAGGTGGGTAGTGAGATACCAGTTTCATATATTCTGTTGAATTGAAATGAAAGTACTTTTTGACATATTGCCTGAGACCATTATTTTGTTTAAAAATCATTCATTTTTTTAATGCAAACCAATTCCATGTTGCTCCATGACATTTGAGCATACAAAATCATCATCCATAATGAACTCTTTGATGATATTGATAAATGCTACAAAAACTGAAAATTATAGTGTGAAAGATAATTCTTGTCTTCTCATATCACGGCCAGTTGAAATAATGCAGTGGTCCTTCAGTTGCTGTGTTTTTAAAGTTGTGGTGTTTAACCCTGAGCTCTTAGCTTATTGTCAAAGCTTTTCCAAAGTTGGCCAAATAACTGGGTTCATTGATGACAATTTGCTTTAAATTGACTCTGATAGTTATCTACCGAATAGGGTTGGACAAAAGAGGATATTGTTGAGTGGCTTCTATTATGAATGTATTTGTTGTTGTTGGTGAGTTGGAATGTACATTGACATACTGAACATCATAGAGCTTGTATGTAATAGCTTGATTGATGGAGAGAGATCTTTCTTGGTTGCAGGAATTGTATCATGAATTGCATGCATTGGACAGATTTGAACAAGACTATCGACGCAAGCTTCAAGAAGAGGAAAACTCAAATGCCGCTCAGAGAGGTAACTGTCTAGTATGTTCTTTTCACATGTTACTTTAAGTGCTCTGTTTATTGTTTGGAAATATGTGCTCTACTTGGGCTTGGCACTGCCAACCTAGTTGTGATGAGTTATGTAATCATGTTATTATAACAAATTTTGACTTGGAAATATGTATCGGGTGAATAATTGTGCAATATTGGTACACCAAAATTATGGGGCTGATATTACAAAATCGTTGAAGCCTGTGTTACAGTATCTTCCTTCAAATCTAGTTATTGGTCTACACACACTAAAATCTGTTGGTGGAATTATTGTTTCTCTCATATCTTCTTGGTCTCTCTATTTCGATCACAAAAATATTGGCTTGTCAAAGAGAAAATATGATGGTATCATTAGTAATAAAGTACTGATTTACTTTTGGACTAATTTTCAGCATGTCCTACATAGTTTTGCAGACTTACATATTCAACAATTTTTGACAGCAACTTACTTTACTAATTCCAAGCACAACTTCCTACATTAACTGAAATTGCTTTTGGTAGTAATTAATGCTAGACATGTCAAGAAAAGAAAAAAAATAGACTAAGCGCTTAGAATTTAAATTTTTTCCCCCTCCGATCTATTTTATTTAATGGCATAGTGCCATGATAAGTAACAATGCTCCCACTCTCCAATGAGAAAAGCAAAGATAGAATAGGAAACAAGCATCTCTTTTGCTGAATCCCTAATATCTTCCCAATGAATTAACACTTTCCATTGACCGTGTCAAACCTTGGAATCCAACAATGCATAATGAGTAGGCATCAGAACCCCATTACATATGAGAAGTAGACAGTGAGAACGCAATTTTGATCCGTAAAATTTCTTCAACCAAGAGACATGAAAATCAAGATATAATTTAGAATCATTAGGCAAGCATAACTTAAAAACCAAGGACTAACTCAATATGCTCTAGAACGAGAAAGGAACATGAGATAAGGCCATAATTTAAGAGTAGCAAATCACTCACAACAAAAGAGACGTCATGTAATAATAATCATCAGAGTCCTTCAAAATATTTTCAGCATAAGTAAGGCAGCCAAACAACTTCTGTAAATGAAATTATGATTGTGCAATTCAACATCCACGACCTCAATAGTAGCCAATTCAGGCAATGAGAAAACAATCTAGGAGCTGATATCCATACACTAATGCATTAAAGAAAGTGACATCTCTTTCACTGGCTATCGATATCAACTGGCTATGTAACTTGAAGATATTATCAAAGAAGATTTATGCAACCATTACTATACTATAAGAATGGGATTGCGACAAAAAAGTAGAACCTGCAAGAACATTCTTTCCTTGTGAAGGAGGAAATCCTTAAACAAAGGCTGAGGAGATGTCAGGCCAAATCTAATGAAGTACAGGGAGAGGCCGCAATAAACCATCGGGTTGGAGGTGTTTCACCTTATTGCACCAACGTACTAATATTTTTTTCAAAACCTCTTAACTTGTAGCTTCATATCTTTCTAATGGAAATTAGAGTTCAACTCTTTAAGTTTTACTAGTGTCCTTCATGGAATTTTTCGTGAACTATAATAAGATTGATTGAAGAACGGAATAAGGGCTGAGGAACATGCTATCTCGAGAAAAGAAAACCATAATAAAAAGTCTAGGAACTAAAGCATTTCCTGGCTAGAATCTTCCTACATAGCTGCTAAGCATTTCTTCGCTAAGGTACATGAAGAAGTTATTTTTGTATGAACATCTTCAAAATACTCCAACAGAGGCATGGATGTAGTAGCATAATATGCCATATGCCTAATTAAGGCATAAATAGCAATATTTCCTCTCCAACCTCATACTCTATGATAAATGAAACACCAATAACTTGCTTAGGCAATACTGTTGTGGAGAAGTGATGATGGCTGTTCCAAAAGGAATCTCAGGTTAAATGGTCAATGAAAATGAGGAGGATAACTAGATAGGTGACAGTTCATTGGCTAGCTAGTTTTCTCATTTTGCAATATCTCATATAAACATAATCGAAGTTTCTCTTTTTGCTTGTCTTACTAATGAAGTTGTTTCCTGTAAGTTTTAGTTTTTCTGAAACTTTTTTAACTAGGAAACTTCTGATATGTTAACCTTGCCTAATTTATTGGAGCTTTTCTAATATGACTCATGACTTGGTACCCAAATTTGGAAATTGGATCCCTCGAGACTATTATATTGGTAATTCCTTCAAAGGTCAAGGTTATTTGATATGTTTGGATTCGCTTGGTGGCTCCCCCCATTGGTAGAGTGTTTGTGGTCTCTTGTCTTCATGGAATGGAATACGAAGAGTTGTTAAATCCCTTTGGAAAGGACTCTCTTCGTAGGCTTATGGATTCTATGGCTTGAATAGTATCCATGGAGTTTTTATGATCAATCTCCCTCAATCTAGGTTTTGTGAGACCAACTAACTTTTTTAGCCACCCTTTGAGCAAAGCCCACAGGTTTTGATATCATTATCTTTGTGCTTCCTAGAATTTTTTTTTAAAATAAAAAATGATACAGTATGATTTATTCACAAATACCAATGGGGTGCAAATCCATGTACATTGTTATTTGTTGATAGCTTTTTCTCTCTCTAAACTCTCTCTAGCCCATCCCTCTCGAGCATCGATCACCCTCCCTCCACAACCAACCTCCTCTCAGACCTAGCCAATAACCACCACATTGTACCCCTTTTGTCCTCGGGTCGGCCCAACCCTCTCCACCAATATGAGGCCTGAAAACACCAAACGATTCGTTCTTATTGGTAGAAAATCCTTTGATATTGACTGTGAAGGCAAAAACCTAGATGGAATATGAATTAGTGAGAACGGTAGAGGCAACAGAGTGTCTAATTCTCTGAATAAGAAGGAAGTGGACTGGATTATTGCCGCACTGAGTGACTTCTACTGGAACAAAGGAGGCAAATCATGGGGCAGGAAGTTAAAAGATCCATACCACCACTTATTCTTCGTTATGATTTGGAACAAGAGAGGTTGTTGCCTTGTGTTATCTGAAGAAAAAAAAAATCTGGGAAAAGAATCTTTATCCCCGATGGTTATGAAGCACGAGGTTGGTGGCATTTCATGAAATCCATTTTTGACCTTACTGAAACTCCACTGGTTCACCCTTTCAAAAACTCTAAGGCGACTTCTCCTTCGTGCTTCTTTCAGAGTCCTGAGATTGCAGTGGCCCCATCCAACAGTCTCCCTCTGTTGCCGTAATTGCTCTCACAACTTCCCAGTGAATCTTATGAAGGCTGATTGCAAAATGTACGCGGGGGTGCTGGGAAACCCTAGCAGGGGACAAACTCAGGTCATAATGAAACCACTTGACCCGACCCTTCCTAACGTGAGTTTTGAAATTCAAAAACTCCTTCCAGTTTGCGCCTTCCGGGTCAACAATCCCAACTCGACCCAAACTGCAGCCTAACGTAATTTGGGCTCAAAAAAGTCAAAACAATAGCAAAAAAGGCCCAAACTCTCCTAGGCTGAAAAAGGCAAATGGACCAACTAAGCTGAATCAAGCAAAACTATAAAAAAGAGGGGCAGCTCCAGGAAGAAATCTCAGAATGTAAATTGGGCATGGAGAAAAAAGAAAGTTCCGAGCTCGACAAAAGAGAAAGGCTAGGAAACCCTAGCCACTCCAGCAAAGTCTCTGAACTCGACACTCCCCAAGGGTTCTGCCTCTCTGGCCTCGCCTTCTTCCTTTACTGATAGGGTCATTAATGACATGGCTGCCCATGCTATTTGCGCTAACTCATGGAACACAGACCAGGTCACTTCCCACAATCCGTTTATGGTCCTGTCAGAAGAAAATTTCTTGAATACTAACTTGGATTTGATGGTCCTCCCAGTCGACAATGACGAGATTAACCGGAGCTCTGATTGTAATGAGGGGAAGGAATTGGCCGAAGTCATTGCTTCACTGGATAGGATACTGAACGACAATCAAATGTATGACCCGAAAATCTTCTCAGACTGGATTCACCGAAACATTTTCTGCATTAGCAAATTCCTCGGCTCTTCTTATTTTGGTTTTGAAATGGAAACAGAATCTCTACTGTTGGAGTTGGATAAAAAGATGGACGACAATCAATTTGAATAGCTTGCTTTGAGCACATGTAAGAAAAAACAAAATGTTGGAAAATCAAGGGAGCTAAAGAGGCTTCAATTTTCTGTCAACTACGATGGGCGTAACAAAAAATGCAATGGAACTGGGGGTGAACCTGTTTGCTTAGATGACAAGTAGAGTCCTCTCTTGGAACGTCAGGGGTCTCAATGATCAAAGAAAAAGGGCCATCATTAAAGGGTGCATTTGCCGCTGGTGGCCAACCATCATCTGTTTTCAAGAAACAAAGATGAAGCTCATTAATGATAAATTTATTGGCAGCCTATGGTGTGGTGTGGTGTGGATGTGGGTTGGTGTTTCCTCCCATCTAAGGGATCTGCTGGGGGTACTCTTTTAATGTGGAGAAAGGACTGGATTCACTGCCAAAGCACTCCCACTGAATCTAAAATTGCAGATTTCAGGTCCATTATTGATAGAATTGATCTTAATGATCTGCCTCTTAAAGGGGGAAGGTGGACTTGGAGCAATCAAAGAGAAAATTATTCGTTTTCCAGAATTGTCAGCTTCCTCATCACTTCAGATTTGCTGTTAACATCCCTTGACATAAATCAAAAGGTACTGTCTAGGCCTATTTCTTATCATTTTCCTATCCTGCTTGTCTCTGATGGCATTCAGTGGAGCCTCATTCCTTTCCGTCTTGACAACAAATGACAACAAATCAATGGTGGAGAACTGCTGGAATTCCACACAGCTGAAAGGGACCATCAGCTACAGAATTGCGCAAAAACTTAAAAGGTTGAAACAAGAGGTAAAAGCTTGGGTAAAGGTCAATGGTAAAAAAGAGGAGGAATGTACCAAAGACATCCTTCTGGAGATTGACTTGCTGCACAGAATGGAGGAAAATTCAATCATTTCTCCTGCTGACCGAGACAGGAGAAACGCCTTTAAATCGGAGCTGGCTATTTGTCTCCAAATGGAAGCCACTTCCTGGAAGCAAAAATCAAGAGAAAAATGGCTAAAAGATGGTGACAAGAACACTAGGTACTTTCATCTTTTAGCCAACCACAGAAGAAGGGTTAAATATGTTGAAGATCTCATGATTTATTTCAAAAAAAAAAATGTTGAAGATCTCATGATTGAAAACAACCAAATTAAGGGCAACGAAACTTTGAGAGATTGTGCCAGAAATCATTTCCAGAAATTGTACTCTGAAGAGTTCGATTGCAGATCAAAATTAGACAATCTCACTTTCAACGGTTTGAGTGAAAGGGAGTACTGTCAACTGGAGGATATATTCGCCGAAGATGAGATTGCCGCTTGTCTGCACAATAGTGATGGGAACAAAGCTCCCGGGCCTGATGGTTTCAACTTTAAATTCCTCCAAACATTTTGGGATGTCATCAAATACAACATCATCAAATTCTTCAATGATTTCCACAATCATGGCTCATTCGTTAGATCTCTGAACTCAACTTTTCTTGTGATGATACCAAAGAAAAGTAACTCCAAACACATCAACGAATTCGGGCCTATTAGCCCCATAAACTGTATTTACAAATTGCTTTCTAAGGTGTTGGCTCAAAGGTTATCCAAAGTTCTCAATTCTATCATTAGCGACTGCCAACATGCCTTTATTTTTGGCCGACAAATTGCTGATGCAATTTTGATTGCTAATGAGACTGTGGATGAAGTGATTAGACAAGGTAAGGATGACATATTATGCAAGCTGAATATGGAAAATGCCTTTGATCATGTAAATTGGGAGTTCATTGACTACATGCTTCTTAAAATGAGTTTTGGTGTTAAATGGAGATATTGGATAAGATCATGTATCTCTACTGCAAGTTTTGCTACCATTATAAACGGCAGACCCTCCTCCTTCTTTACTGCTTCTAGAGGCCTAAGACAAGAGGACCCTCTCTACCCCTCCTATTTATTATTGTGATGGAGACGCTAAACAAACTTCCTGAAAATGAAAAGGAGCTGCAATTGCTAGACGGAATCATTGTTGGCAGTAAGGAGAAAAGAATGGAAATCTCACATCTATTTTTCGCCGACGACACACTTATCTTTTGCCAGGCTAACATGCGGTTTATGATTTTTTTGAGATGCATACTCTGTTTTCAAGCTGTCTCGGGTCTAAAAATCAACCTTCATAAATTGGAATTAGTGATGATGGGCAATAGCAGTTTGGGTTATTCTCTGGTGCAGGTTATGGGTTGCAAAAAATCTACTTTGCCTATCTGTTACCTTGGTGTTCCCCTTGGCACAAAGCACAAGGACATCAAAAGTTGGGATCCTGTCATTGAAATGGTTCACAATAGACTTGCCAGTTAGAAAAGGAAGTTTCTTTCCAAAGGAGGTAGATTGACACTTATGAAAAGAACCTTCTCAGATCTCCCAATTTACTACCTATCGGTGCTCCATATTCCTGTCAATGTAGCTAAAAAATTGGAAACAATTCAATATAACTTCTTGTGGGGTGACAATGACAACACAAAAAAGCTCCACCTTGTCAAATGGGCTGATGTCAAAAAACCATTCACAGATGGTGGCTTAGGCCTTCGATCCTTGAGCATTCTCAATAAAGCTTTGCTCGGGAAGTGGATTTGGAGATTTTGGAACGAGTAAGGTAGTCTTTGGAAAAGGATAGTTGATTGTAAATGGTTTAATAGCAACCCTCATGATCTCACCCATATCAAAACTTCCACTTATGGGCTGAGTCTTTGGAAAGGTATCATGAGCCTCAACAGCAATGTCCTACAATGCTCTAATTGGACTCTTGGGAGGGGTAACAAGTTAAGATTCTGGGAAGACACTTGGTATGATGAAGGGAATTTTCAATCTAAATTTCCTCTCATTTATGTGATCTGCAGCAATAAACACTGCCTGGTTGGTAATATGTTCAGTAATGGTAACCCTGGTGGGTGGAATATCAATGTTACTAAAAATCTTAATGATTGGGAAGTGGAGGAATATGAGAATTTACTCAATACTGAGAACAACCTTCGGCCCTCATCCCACGAAGACAAGCTTTGGGTCTCTTAGGCCTATCTTGGGCAATGGCTGACATGATCAAATCTGAATTATTGGCTTGGGAAGGCATTAACAGCAGGAAAAAGGCTATTCGCATCATACCCCTTACTTTATTTTGGGTTATTTGGAAAGAGCGCAACAATCGTGCTTTTGAAGGAAAGGAATCTGACTTTAATACTATCAAGGACAATTGGTTTCATTATTTTGCCTCTAATGTCCTAGGGCATAACCTTGATTGTATTGATGATTTTGCCTATATCGTAGATATATTAATTGACATGTAAATATTTTTTGTATATGGGTGGTGCCCCCTTAGCATCACTTTAATACAACTCTTCCTACTTTTATTTGAAAAAAAAAAAAAAAAGATTCTCAAACCTCCCAAGTGAGAAGAGAGGATGACCGATAACAAAAGAATCTAATATCTGGAACCATCTAGTTTTTAGCCTATCAAAATCACATTCCACACTCTCAAAAGCTCTCTTATTCGTTTCTTTCCATATCGTCCAAAAAGTAGCAAGGGGAATGAGGCTAACATACTTTTTCACATCACTGATTCCTTTCCACGCCCAAATTTCTTCCTGCATTGAACTGGCCGTCACCTAATTAAAACCCAAGAGGCCATAAGTAAATATCCACAATTTATACACAAAGGGATACTACAAAAGGATATGGTTACACAACTTCGCCCCGTTTTCGCATAAGAAATAACCATTCATCAAAATCCTGCCCCTTCTAATAAGCTTGTCCAGAACTAAAATATAACTTCTACAAACCTCCCAAGCCAAAAAAAAAAAAAAGACAACTCTAGGTGAAGCATTAACGTTCTAAACTTGTCGGAATGAAAAGTTAGTACTCATGGCTTCTCTTTTAGCCAAGTGCTTATAAAAAGATCTGACAAAGAAAGTCTCCCTACACCTAAAAAGGTCTAGGTGGAGTATTAACCTTCCAGACTTGTCAGAATGAAAAGTCAGTAGTGACTCGTGGCTTCTCTTTTAGTCAAGTGATTGTAGATAGATCTGATAGAGGAAGTCTCTCTAGTATTGAGCCTCCGTACTGGTTGATCTCTAGTCCCATTAATTGTAACCCTAGCAAGGGTTAAAAGTAGAAATTGGGTTATAATATTTATTGACCCTCTAGGGGTTCGTTTGGTACCTTCAGGTCTGTGGAGTTTTCTCTTAGAAGACTCTAGGAGGAATCTTATTGCTTATGTAATTATTTTCCTTTCCTCGTCAATATTCTATCAAAAAAATGATATATATTCTACTGTTCAATGGTTATCAAATATAAAGTAGAACAAATTTTGTTCATCCATTTATGTGTATTAAACGTATCTTTTTACCTTTTCTTATCCTCTACTGTTTTATTCACTGAATGAAATCTAAAAATCAAATAGAGTATTGATATTTTCCTGTTAAATTGGATGTGTTTATTATTGTTGGACACGTGATCAACATTTGATTCTATGGTTTGATCTGAGCCAGTTACATCATCTGGCAAATCCAACCTAAGGATATTCCTACATCTATAATGTACTAACTTTGTGTATTGCCTTTCTTTTTTACTTTAGATTTGCCTTGAATCTCTGATTATTGAAGATTGTTTTTAGCTATGTTTTCTTTGTAACATTTTGTGAACGACTACATTTCTGTTTAACTCGTTTGAATTAATACATGTTTATTCGACACGTAGGAGATAGCCTTGCAATCTTGAGAGCAGAATTGAAGAGTCAAAAGAAGCATGTAAAAAGTTTGAAGAAAAAATCACTTTGGTCCAAGATTTTGGAGGAGGTATAAATCACATCTGCTTCAGCAGGGATGATGTTTCCATTATTTTTCTGCGTCAGTTTCTAGCAAGTTGAACTGATTTCTTTGTTAGAACTCGCACTGTGACTATTTTCTTTATTGCATGTTCTCCTGGTCATTCTTTTTTCTTTTTCTTTAGTAAGTTTTGATCCTAAGTCTACCTGCATTCCATCTTACCTTTAACATTTTATCTCTTTGGGTTTGGAGTCTCCTTTCTATTTAGTGTTGAAGTTTGTTATAGCTATTTCTATTTGCTTCATAAAATGTTAGCATTTGTTTTCGCAGGTGATGGAGAAACTTGTGGATATTGTTCATTTCTTGCATTTGGAGATCCAGGAAGCCTTTGGCAGCACAGGTAAGGTCAAAAATATAATTTGCTTTTATGAAAAGGCAGTGTTTTCAGGTTGAGACAGAAAATATTGGATTAATTTTTTTTTGGGTAAGAATTAGCTATCAAGTCATTAGTCTGAAAAGCTGCTTTACTTCTGATTGCCTACTGGAGAATGAAAATCATGGGGAAGAAGTATGTTTGTCATTGGGTAATACACAGAAGTAGTTAAGATTTGTGGGAAAGGGCAATATTCCTGGCAAGCTTATGGGCTAAAGCACATGGGCATTATCCCAACACTAGTATCTCAGAGCTCCATTGAAACTGGGGTGCAATTATCTTTAGCACGTAGGATTCCGACATTTTTGCATTATTCTACTGCTATTTTGATACTATTTGGAGCATACCTTATTCTCCGTATTTGTAACTCTTCCTTTCTCTTTCTATAATAAAGTTTTTTCTTTTTTCTACAAAAAAGAATTGAAAAAAAGGGGAACTACAATAGATTCTTGTGTACATTTGAAAGAACAAGACTAGAATAGATTCTTGCATACACTATGTGTTCTTACATTCTTAGTAATGTTTTTTCTTTAATATATTAGCTTAAACCATTACCTTTTTTTGTGTTTTCTCAAGCAGAATTATTTCTTTTTTTTTTTAAAGAAAAGATTCTATTAAGAGCACCAAGTTGGTGCAACTCAATACAAAAAGATTTATGGAATTTACAATCCCCTATATCTTTAGGAAGGAGATGAGATGCCCTTTAAGCAAAATGCAAAATATTCCAAATCTTTGGTTTCTGATCTCATGAAAAGGGGGATGAGGAGTTGTCATAAGTTCTATTGTTTCGCTATTTCTAGATAATCCAAAAAATAAAATGAAAAAATTAGAGATAATCTTCTTAAACTTGTGAGAACCAATCGGTGAGAGATGAGGTTTGGACGTGGAGAGACATCAGGAGGAGGAGGAAAGAAGTGGACTTAATACACTATACAATTATTTCAAAATAGTGGAAGGAGAGGAACAAAAGGGTTTTTGATGGGGGGGATGATGTAAATGGGTTTGATTTACTTAAGAATATATGGTTCCAGATTTTTAGTTTTTTGTTATTAGGTCATTCTTCACAGTCCATGGAGGATTTAGGGGATCGAATTGAATAGTTGATAGATATATAAATTCTTTTATACATGGGATGACATCCCCTTGGCATCCATATTAATATTACACTTCACGCTTTTTATTTCGAAAAAACTTGTGAGAACCAATAGCACCCCATGCCCATAACTTGTCTTTAATAGAAGATCAGTCATGCAATAGAGATAATTTTCTTCTTAAACTTGTGAGAATCAATAGCACACCATGCCCATAACTCATCTTTAATAGAAGATCCAGTCATCTAATAGAGGCTGAGAAGGGAAAGTGTTGAATCTCATAATCTTCTAGTCTCAAGACACCAAAAGAAAATATGCAGGGAATTCCTCCTTGTTCATACATTAGAAAACATCTCTTGGCCAAAAGTCTCCCTTTTTTCATCAGATTATTTGAAGTTAGAATTCTACACCGAGCTGCCTCGTAAGCAAAAAAGGCAATGCAGGGTGAGGCTTTGGTTTTCAATACTTGTTTGCATGGAAAGTAATCTAAAATTATCCTCATAACGGTGGTTGTAGCCTGACTTAACCAAAATGGGATAACTTGGCAATTTATCATCGAGGTTTCAAAGGAGAGGGATATTCGACCTAATTCCATCATTATACGCTTCAAAATGTCCATAGTGTTTGCTTTCTTCAAACTGACAACGTAGAGGATATTTAGCAAGATGTCTTTGAGGGGCCCTTCGTCAATCCGATGGTCATACCAAAGTCTTAACTTTTTTTCTCTCTTCCCAACCACAAATTTGATGTTGTTTGGAAAAGGTTTCCAATTTTTGTTGAACCATCTCAATGGGCTACACCTGTACACGCCTTTGCAATTGTTGGTTTTCCAACTACTGTTATCCCAGCCATATTTTGCAACAATGAACCTCTTCCATGAAGCACTATCCTCTGTGATGAATCTCTACTTACATTGAGCAAGCAATGCCTTCTTGAAAACACCAATGGATTTACTGTTCAAACCTCTCTTACCCAGTAAATCCCATGCGACCAAGTGAAATTTCTATACGTCATCCTTGTTCCACCCGTGGAAAATTACTTTGTAAGGTATCCATTATTTTATCATTCCTAGCAAGAATGGTAAATACGGACAAGAAGTAAATCGAAAATTAAAAAGGGCATAATTGATGAAAATAAGTCGCCGACCTTTTGGAAGAGAGCATTTCCTTCAACTGGAGAGTCTCTTCTCCATCTTCTTTCCATTCCTATTTTCATTTCTATTTAAACTGTAGATCTTGCGGAAGATGCATCTGGCTGGGAAGGAGAACAAAGTAACTATGGATATGGGAATGCACTTAATTATTTTTTTTAAAAGAAGAAAAAATACATGTTCAAGTGATGAATTTATATATATTATATAATTAAATATTATTCAGAGGGAGGAGAAATTAATATAGGGGAGAAAGGATAAGATATCCTTCCGCAAAAGCAAGATCAGATAAAACAAAGAAGATCCTTGTATACTTTTTCTTTTTAAAATGAAAAATATGATATGTATCATTAATACATAACATCAAGGGGGTGCTAATCCATGTACAAAAGTATTTACATGTCGGTTAGAATATCAATAAAATCTTCAAAAACCTCTATAAAATAAAGAGAATGACCCATAACTAAAAGTCTAGGGTCTAGATCCATCTATCTCTTAACTCTATCAAAATCATTTTCCACCCCTTCAAAAGCTCTCTTGTTCTTTTCTTTCTGCACCATTCAAATATAGTAAGGAGAATGAGACCCGCATGCTTTTTTTCACCATTAATAGCCTTCCAAGTGCAAATCTCAATCCTTACCGTACCAGCCATTGTCCAACTAATTCTCAATAAACTGTACGCCATGGTCCATAACTTGTAAATAAACAGACACCAAAACAAGATGTGATTAAAGACTCATCTCCCTTCTTACATAGAAAACAATCATTCACCATAATCTTTCCCTTTCTCATTAACTTGTCAATAGTAAAAATACACTTATGCCCTGCCCTCTTGCTTAGAAAAAAAGGAAGATCCTTGTATGCAAGAGAATAGGCCAATCCCTTTTTTAATGAGATAAGGAAAATCTTTGAAAGAAATAATGAGCCTTAACCAAAGCAAATTGTATCTTTTACTTTTCGACCATAAGATCCATGAGATGGCGAAAACAGTCCTTTCCTTGTTTAAAACACGCTTTGCTCCTTTCTCCCAAATCCACACAAATTTTTAGAGATAAATATTTTAATGGTTAGGGGATAAACCCCCAAGAACATCACACGATCAAAGCTCTGGTATGAATGCAGCCCTTAGGTTTATCTTATGTTGATAAATCTTGTTTTGGGAACCACTTTGCTGTTCATAACATCACTTCGTCCAATCCAAAGTGCCTTGCTCTTACGCACACATTTAACGTAGCACAAACGCATGTCGGTCCTCTTCTTAGATAGCATCAATAGGCGACGACACTTCCTAGTGGATGTGAACTTTCATGCAACCAGCACGAAAATGAGAATCCAGTAAAGCTTTAAGCATATAAATCAGAATACCTTTATCAAGAAGAGGTAGGATTAAGGACGCCAATGCAGATTCATGAAACTTCTTCAAATTAGAGACATAGAAAGTAGGATGTAATGAGAAGCTTCCAGGAAGCTGCAAGAGGTGTTGCACATTACAAATTTGTTGAGGATAGGAAAGTGGTGTAAAATCATGTGGACAACTTCTCATTCCTTTTAGAGCCAAGAGAAAACTGTAAGAAAAGTTGTAGCCAAAGCAAGACCAAATCACCCACCTTAAAAGAGATCCCAATGCCCTCCACCATAATATTGTTCCATGGAATGTTTAGCTTCAATGAGTTGGTCTTGCAAAAACAATGGATTTTTTGCTGGTGATCAACTTCTTGATGAGGGTGACCATAAACAACCGCAAATGGAGTAGTTTGTCCTTAAGAATGGTATCTCCTATTATAGCAACATCTTGCCTAGGACACCCAATCAACTTATTGACGAGGCTGATCACCAGTGAAACAAAAAAGATGCATTTCAATAATCTGACTAACATCTTCAGTCTAACCATCGGGTAATCCATACAGATTCAAGACATGATCAAAGAAAAGCCGAGATTCAGAGACCACTTGTAAGGATGAGAAAGAGGGATGAAGTGGGCGTACTTTGAAGAACAGTCAAGACCTCCGATAAAACTTGTTTCCCCTGTGAAAATGTCAAAAGCTCCATGAAGTCCAAAGAAATATCAGCCCGAATTTGAATAGGAACAGTCAAAGGTGGAAGAAGGCTCGCAGGTTGCAAAAGCTCCACCTTGTGACTTGGACAAGTAGGTCAGGCACAAACAAAATCTTGAGACTGCTTTCACATGCCTCTCCAGTAAAAATCAGACATAAGGCGTTTCAACATCTCTTGATAACCTTCATGAGATAGAAGATGGATGGAAAAAATGATAACAGAAATGAGAGAGGATGATGAGACAAATATGCTCGATCCTTGTGGAAATGAGACCATCCCGTAAAATCCAATGTGGACCTGAGGTGACCATGTTAGATTTGTTGGTTCAAAAGTTGTAAGTCCAAAGATTGGATGACCTCCTGATGGATGGCGTCAAAGGAATTTAGTTGAGAATGGAGCAGATAGAGTTAAAAATATATGTTACCTAGATAAAGCATTTGCCACAATATTTCCTAGTCTGGGCGATACTCCACTGAAGTTGAATCCCATTAATTTGCTGATCTAGTGTTACTAAGGAGAAGTGACGATTCTTTGTTCCAACAAAATTTGAAGTTGCAATGACCTGTTCAAATAAAAAAACTGTGCCTCAAAAAATATGGTCTCCGATGTCGCACTGGCTGAAGGAACCTGGTTAATTCTCTCATATGTGAGAAGATGCAAATTTTTTGTGCTAAGGGCCTGTTAGAAAGAATAGGATAATCCAACTGTTGGAGGACAACTCCAGTTCTTGCATCTGAAGCATCACATTCAACTACAAATGGTTGAAAAAATTCGAGGAAAAGCTAATAATAAGTAGTTGATACTGCTTCTTTGAGTAAGAAGAAGGGTGGTTTAGCTAGTTTTTCCGGAGCATGGAAGTGAGAGATGGCATGACAACTTCACAATTGTGGACAAACTTGTGATAAAATACTTTGAGACCAGTAAAACCCTTAGTGCCTTAATGGACTGCAATAATTGCTAATTGAGCTGCCTTCACCAATTGTCAATCCTTTTTCTAAATTGATATTTCCCAGGTAACCAGTTGTTGCCCAAAGAAAGCACTTGGATTGATTCAAAGAAACACTGAAAAGACCATACAAAGAGGGTTTTGCATTTGCTTTTTTGAAGTAAAGGGTTTTGCATTTGCTGTCCACCAAGTATTGTAAACCAAAATGTAATTAAAGAACACAGGAATGAACTTCCACAGTAGAGGTAGAGAATAGGATTCATCAAGGCTTAGAAAGTGGAAAGAGCATTTGTTAAACCAGAAGACATCACTTAAATTCAAAAGCGTCTTAGTGTATTATGAAAGGTGCTTCTTTGCTATCCTCAGACCATATTTGGCTTTGATAATAACCTGAAGGCAAATCCAATTTAGGAAAGAATTTTGCACCATGTAATTCCTGCAACAACTCGTCAATTACGTGAATGAGGAACTTGTTATTGGTGGTCTTTGCACTAAGAGCCAAATAATCCATGCAAAAATACCAAGAGTGATCTGTCGATTCCTTTCTCTAACATGCCTTGACACTGTCGATTTATCTCATCCTTTTGGTGATGTGGGTAGCAGTATACCAAAATATAACAGAGGCAGTATCTGAGTCGAACAGGATTTTGTGATCATAGTCACAAATGAGAAGCAAAGATTCTGGTACCTTAAGCAGAATTGCCAACTCTAACAAGAGTGTCTGTAAGTTTGTCTCTTCATCGAAGGCTATTAAATTGGGGGAGTATATTAGGTACTCCGATTCCTGAGTCTCAGATGCCTTGTAATTCGACTTCTTGGCCATTGCGATCTAACTGCATACACAGAAGAAAAATCCCAAGTGATAGCCCTGAGAGCCACAAACAATATGCAGCCAACACAACCTCAAAACCTATAAATTTGATGAGGTAAGATCAAAATTCAATTTGATGAGGTAAGATCAAAATAAAAGTCCAATTTTCATGTAGATGTGGACCCATGTACAGATACCGTTGCCTCACCTTTCCACCATTGACCACCAAGACTACAATTGATTCATATTCTTTCACCTTTAAATTCAAGTGGCGTGCAAAAGATACATCTAAGAAAGAGGAAATAGTACCGGGATCAACAACCTCAGAAATGCCCTCCAGAAAACCACATATAAGTATCCCCTGAGGAGTTGGACTCTTAGTGATGGTCTAGAGTGATATTACAACCTCCTCTAATTTTGATTTTTGCAACACTTCCTCTTGGGTGTTCATTTGGCTTCCTCTCTCACCATTTCCAGCCAAAACAATCTCTTACTATTGTACTTTGGCATGAAACGGTTTCACAGTTAGATTAGAGTCCTTTGACACGTCAATCATCAAACTCGGACCGGCTGAGGTGTTTTGCAATCGGTGGCCAACTCTTGAGCTTGCATGTTCTAATTTTGTACGGAATTCATATATGCTCACTTGTTATCATTTTAGTAATTTGAGAATCCTATAACCAAGTATAAAAAATAAAAAGCAAAACTCCATGTAGCATATAAAAATAGTTTGTTATTTTTCTTTTAAGAACTTACATGTTATAGATGTATTTGTTCATGAAAATATGCATGTATGTGTTTATGGGGTAACTAGGTAAATGGAAAAATTTGTGGAAAACTAATTTTTCTTTTCAAACTCTTTTGTTTTCATGATTATTTTCTAAATGTTATTAAGATTTTTAACTATATTACATGTTTAAATAAAAACTAGAAATCTGCAATATGTATACAGGCAGTATTCCCTTGATACTATGTTTGAGAGATTGGGTTATGGTGGCAACATTTTTGAGAGATGCTTGGGATGACACGTATCCTGGAGAGGAAATTCAATTCTGGCAGGGCGAACGGGCAGGAGATTTTAAACTAAAAGATAGACTCCCTAGAATTTATTCTGTTGCCTGAGATAAGGAGATGAGGGTGAAGAAGGCTTATGAGACTATTGGTGGGGGCTGGGTTTGGAATGTGCCGATTAAATGTAACCTGTAGGATTGGGAAATGGAAGAGTATGTGAACTTGCTGTTGTGTTATCTAATTTTAAATTGGCCGAGCACAAAGATAAAAGTGTATGGAAGATTGACAAAAAAGGGGCTTCTCTGTAAACTCTTTTTATGAATTTCTTACCATGAGAGAGAACAACGACAATCTGACAGCTTCTTTCAAGCAAATTTGGAAATCTAAAGCCCTACCTAGAATCGGATTCTTTGCTTGGGAAGCAGCTAAAGATCGGATCTTGACAATTGACATGCTAAGAAGAAGAGGGAATGTGTTGATAAATTAGTGCTATTTTTGCAAATCTGATGAGGAAACCTGTTACCATTTGCTGCTGGGATGTCCTGTTACATACGGCATTTGGTCTTCTGTTTTGAGGCTTATAGGGGTGCATTGGGTTATGGCAGGTAGTGTAAGTAAAGAACTTTGGGATTGGGAGGGTTTGTGTAAAAAAAAAGTGGGAACATTTATTTCTTGTCCCATTTACTATTTTTTGGGTGATTTGGAAGGAAATGAATGTTAGGCTTTTGAGGGTGTAGAGACTTAATTTTGTTAACATTAGAGATGGATTTTACACATTTAAATCTATTTTGTTAGGTCATAACATTAAAGAGTAGGAAGATATGGGGGTGGTCATTGGTCAACTGATTGACTTGTAACTATTTTGTATATGGATGGTACTCCCTTGGTATCTTATGCAGAATAATACTTAATTTTTATTTTTTTAAAAATATTTCTCTCACACTCTTTTATTTCAAAAATAAAAAATAAAAACTAGAAATATCTTCATGAATTGAGTGGCGCCAAATATTCTCAATGTAATCTTTTTTAATCTATATTACCTTCAATCTCTCTGATAATCTCTCTGTTACCTAATTTGTTTGTCTAATTGATACTAGCCTTTTCAATTGATACTTTTTTTGTGAATGTCTCATGTGGTGTAATATTTTGTGGGAAATTATGGTGTGAGCTAGTTGTGGGCTTGATTAATAGATTGGTTTTTCCTGAAATTTTTATCATTGGTCCTGCAGATGCTGATAAGCCAGTAAAAGGTTCTCTGAACAGTCATAAAAAGTTGGGATCTGCTGGTCTAGCATTGCACTATGCGAATATAATCACTCAAGTAGATACTCTTGTGAGTTTCTTTTCTTTTAATTTCTTATCCTTAGTGCAGATTTAAATTTGTTTTAGATATGCTTTATCTGTTTCTTATTTTATATTAGTACAAGAATCTTAGCTTGTCATTTGTAGGTAACAGTGTTATTTAGGTAGCTTAATTCTCATAAACTACGGAAGAGATGTGAAGCAGGTAGTCATATACACATGCTTTTGGCTAAAATATGTCTTTTCTGGTAGAAAAAACAAGTATTATGAAAAAGACACCAAAGGTGTCTAAATCAATCAAATTAAAACAAGTACCATGAAGAATAATTCTATTCCTCTTTCTTCAAATGGCCCGAAAACTTGCGAGAGTAAGAAGAGAGATGATCTTCTTTATGGATTGATCCATGCAAACACCATTCCAAGCTTTAAGTTTAGCTCAGACAGACCCACTCGCCACCCACTGCTGAACCCCATAGCTGTCTTTCTCAAATTACTCTTGCTAAGAATGTGATGCCACACAGAGAGAGGCTTTGCCTCTCCGCACGGGCTTCCCAGTGAAGCACTGGAGCACCTGATCTTGACCCAAAAGGAGCAATGATAAGGTTTGAGAAATTTTCTCTCTTGAGGAGCTTCCATTGTAAGATGCTTTAATTTATTTCATAGCTCCAGCCATCTTGAGAGGGTGTATGGGATTGTCAAAAGAAATGTGCTTAAAATACTAAGATACTTTCTTTTATTTTGTAAAAATTAAATTCTTATTTATAAAATAAACAATTACTCGTTTGATCAAAGTTCTCATTACTAAAAATATGTAGTTGCTTGTGGAACAGACTTAATAAAACAAATATTTTAAGACTTGTACTATTACATATTTGACTTCAGTTTCAAGAGGATATCAAGATGGTAGTTAGGTAAATTGGTTAAATAAAAAGCTAAGAATCTTGATATTATTCAGATAATTATTATACAATCTTGGAAGAGTTTAATCTTCCTAATCTACTACATGTCTGTGTTGACAGTACCTGTAAAAGTTGTGAGAAGACTAGAGAATATCCAATGCAAATTTCTTTGGGAAATGAAGAGGATAGTAGAAGGTACCATGTTGTGAAGTGGGATGATATGAAGATGTCTATGAAGGAGGTTGATTTGGGTCAAAAATCTGTTTTTGAGATGAACACAGCACTTCATGGGAAATGACTATGGAGGTTTATGAAGGAGGATAGGAGGTTGTGGAAGTGCATTGTGGAGGCTAGGTGGGGTATGAGTGTTTTGGCAGAGGCTTCTCGGGATGTGACTAGGCAGTGTGGTTCGGGGTTGTGGAAAAAGATCAGGTGGGGAAACAAAATTTCATTGATTGTGTAAAATGGAAGCTGGGGATGGGTGATAAAATAAGGTTTTGGAAGGATGAGTGGACTGGGAGGGGTAAATTTGAAGATCAATTTTCGAGAATTTTTGCCATTGCTACTTTGGAAAACATGAAGGTTGTGCATGCTTGTAATGAGGGGAACGAGAGTAGGGGTTAGTTCGTGAATCTTATAAAGAATCTTAATGATTGGGAATGAAGAATATGAGTACGTACTTCTTATGTTGTCCCAGTTTCAGTTAAATGGTAACAACGATAAATTGATTTGGAAATTGAGGAGAAAGGTAAAGTCGATCTATAAATACCTGACCAGGTGGGGTGGACTCAGGATAACTCTTTTTCTGATTACTCAAATTTGGAGGACTAGGGCCCACTGATAATTGCCTTCTTTGCTTGGGAAGTGGCTAGAGAATGTATATTGATCATTGATAAGCTTATGAAAAGGGGGAAAATGTTGGTGAATCATTGTTAGTTATGCAAGATGGCTGCAGAATCCGGTAGTCATATTCTTCTACAGTGCCCATTTGTGTACAACTTACGGTGTATGGTGTATGGTCTTTCAGAGATTAATTGTGTTATTGCAGGTTCGATGAGGGCTAAGTTGTGGGCGTAGGCAGAAATTTGTGAAAAGAAATCTTATCTAAAGCTTGTCCCTTTATCTATTTTCTAGGTCATATGAAAAGAGAGGAATGCTAGAGTTTTTGATGGGGTGGAGGGGGAGTATGTAAATATTAGGGATAGGTGGCTTGATACCTTTGATTCTTTAATTTCGGGTCATGACATTTATAAGATGAAAAATTTTGGGAATGTCACTGATCTCTTAATTAATTTGTAAAACTCTTTGCACATGAGTGGTACGCTGCCCTTCGGTACTTTTGTTTACAATACTACACCTTTTATCTCAAAAAAAAAAAAACCAATCTTGGAAGAGTTGAAGGTGAAGAGTCAGTCTAATTGTTGAAGATGAAGAGTCAATCTCCTTTGGGCATTTTATTCATATTACAAGATGAAAAACTTTCTAAACACCCTGTATACATGTAAATCAAAATTTTCAGTTGCAATGAAAGATCCTATTAAATTAATATAGCGGGCCTATATCAGTAGCTTTGGGGATCTCTGATCCCTCACTGGAGGTGAATTGTATTTCATTTTAGTTTTTAAGTTGTAGACTAGTCATTATCTCATGGTTGGAAGAGCTTATATATCAATCTATCTGTTGAATTTAGCATCAAAAGGAAAAGTTTTAATGCATGTAGAGAAGAGGGGATAAGTGGGAGAATGCGGATTCTTGAAGTCCTCAAGTCCAGTTCTTTCCAAATGTCCGTAGAACATGAAGGGTCAGGTGGTTTAGAAAGATTCCTAGCTTTTGTGATGGGGAGTGCTGATCGTCCTTCTCTAGTGTGTAGGGCATCAAATGGTTATCATACAGCAAGTTCCATGTCAATGCAGGAGGGATATTTATTGCCTTATCTATTGGGGGAAGAGGAAGAACGATGCATTTGTATTAGGGATCCTAAGCGCCAAACTTATAATAATAACAAAAACAAAAACAACAATAATAATATTAATAATAACAAGCAGTAATAACAATAATAGTAATAGTAGTAATAATGATAATAATAATAATTTAGAATTAATTATTTCTAGTTTTAGGTACTTGGGAGTTTTTATATGTGTTTATGAGTGTTTATAAGTTTGTGTATGGACAATACGTATGGGAATAAATTCTTTCTAGTAGTTCTTAAAGTTGACCAAGTCTAGGAAGATAAAATTAGGTAGTTGTAGCAGTTTATATAGATAGTTTTTAGCAGTTTTCTAGATAGTTTTGATTTATAGGAGTTTGTTGGTTAATTTTGCGTTTTATTCTTGTTTCGGAGTTCTTCCCTGTGAAGGTTTCAGGAGGATAATCTACTCCCTGTCATTGTAGATTATCTCTTCTCACTCTTAATAATACTTTTTTTGTTAATAAAAATAGGAATATAGTGCTTATTTTCTACCTTTTCAAAGTTATATTTAAGAACTTAAAAAGTACTCTACCTCTTACATTAAAAAAGATGGAGATTAAATAAAGTATTCAAAGCTACTTATAAGTAAAAAATAAACAATTCCAAGCACCT